AATTCCCATGAAAAGCATAATACAAATGCCAACGTTTCTTCAATCATCAAAAACATTTTTTATAGGCGCTTTCCGGTATGGCTTTGAGTTCCCTCTGCGAATTCTGTTTTACGTCTTCTATGGATTCAAAACGCGTTCCTCTGAGTGGTAATTTGAGGTTGGGAAACAGGAAAAAGTCACACGGTGCAAGATCAGGTGAATACGGTGGCTGTTCGATGGTATTTATTGAATGTTTGGCCTTAAAATCGTTGATAATGTTGAACAAATTGAGGTGAATCGGAACAAGCCGGGCGTTGACACGTCGCATACACAAATTGTCCACCAAAATCAAACGAGCCATCTCACGACCGATGCCTAGCTCTCGTGCTATCTCTCTAACACTCACATGAGGATTTTTGAACACGATTTCCTTTGCCTTTTCAATGTTTTCGTCGGTGGTAGAGGTCGAAGGTCGTCCAGAACGCGGCATGTCTTCGACGGTCGTACGACAGTCCTGAAAGGCTTTGTACCACTCATAAACTTGAGTTTTCGATAAAACTGATTCCCCATAAGCCTTTTGTAGCATTCGCAACGATTCTGCACACGAAATTTCGTTCGAAAAACAAAATTTGATGCAAACTCTTTGTTCAATATTTTTTTCCATTGTTTTTTTCGCAACGCACTACTGAGGTGAACTGGTTTCAACAGCTGCCGTAAACGAACTGTCTGACAGATCGCGCTCATTTTTGGCATAGTAATTAAGTACAGTGCTGCCAAACTACATAAACTTAAAATATCGAAAAATATACAGCGCGCGAATTTTAAATGAGAATTTCCGAAAGCTTTTCGGTCACAATGTAGTTATGGCTAAAGCAATTAGCAAAATATTAACGTATAAATATTTTCTTCTGGAAATTGGTAGCTAATATTATTTGGAAAACTGTTCCAAAAAATAGGAAATGACGAAGTAATGCTAAAATGCAGTATATAAGACTACAAGCGATTTGTTTCTTACAAAGCCTCATCAAATTTAATAAAATTGAAGACCTTATTCTAATCATATGCTTTGCGACGAAAATTTTACTAGTTTTGGTATGATTACCAGAACTAGTAGTAGAACTAGTACTTACTTGATAGCTTCCTGATCTTCACCTTATTTTTATTAATTTTTCTTTTTTTTTTTTGCAAAAAACAATAAAGAATTTGTTTTGAATTTCGTGTTCACAGTTTATTTCACCGGCCAATGGGTTCTTAAGTAATTTGGCAAATAAACAGATTTAAAATAGATGATGCAACATACAATACATATTAATGAAGACTATATTCACTAATCTAAACACTTACATAATTAAAATCATAAACAATTTTAGTCAATGTGTCAACAGAATTATTGATAACCAGGAAAAAAATTATTTTTAAAATATTATAATTACAAAATTATGGCATAGCAGCTAATCAAAGCTTGGGAAGAGTCCAAGGTTCTAAATTTTGCATTATGAGTCTATGTATACTTCATTGCGGTAGAAAAATTTTTCCGCATATATAATACAGACACCAAACTTGTTGTTGCTAACCTTACCGGCTTCAATACAAAATATAAACATCAAAACTTTTTTTTTATTATAGATGGTGCAGACATTATACTGACCAACACATACCAGGCTAGCGTGGAGGGCTATGTGAATTTTTTAGATTTGAGTGTTCCTGAGAGCATTGAACTGATAAGAAACACTGTGCGACTGGCTCACATAGCTAAAGAACGATACTTAACGGAATGTTATGAAGAAACTAAAATTATGCCAGAGAGTAAATCAATAAAATATTACATATATATGTATATGTAGCAGTATAACCATAAACAATTTTTACGTAGATATACCCATGATAATTGCATCAATTGGTCCATTTGGCGCTCATTTACACGATGGCTCAGAATATACCGGCTCATATGCAGATTATGTATCACCAAAAAAAATTACAGACTGGCATCGTGTACGCATTGACGCTTGTCTTGAAGCTGGTGTAGATGCTTTAGCTATTGAAACCATACCCTGTCAGGTGGAAGCCGAAGCGCTAGTCGAAATGTTATGCGATGATTATCCAGATGTGAAATTTTGGGTTTCATTTCAATGCAAGGTAATCTTTCCATCTAAAGTAAAAAAAATTTTTAACTAACATTTAAGAATGTAGGATGATAAAACTTTAGCCCATGGTGAAGATTTTGCTGATGCAGCTCTATCTATCTGGGAGCTCCTGAAAGAACGTAACGCCCAGCATAACTGTTTAGCCATAGGCGTAAATTGCGTTCATCCCAAAGTAAGAATATTTGTTACGTACTAGTAGACTATACAATTTTTACTATTAATTATTCTCATTTTTCCAGTACGTGAGTTCACTTTTCAATAATCTTAATGGAGATCGATCTGATGCTGAAAAAGTTCCGCTTGTTGTCTATCCAAACAGCGGAGAACTTTATGATGTCGTTAAAGGTTGGATGGGTCGAGAACACTGCATACCTTTGGAAAATTATGTTCCTGAATGGACACAGTTGGGTGCAAAAATTATTGGCGGTTGCTGTAGAACCTATGCGCGTGACATACGTAATATTAGTGAAGCAGTCCGTACCATAAATACCTTGATGCGTTGGAAATAGTTACTCCACGTCTCTGCATGCATACTCGAATGTGATCTCGCATTAAGAGAACAAATATTATTAATTTTATCTTTAGTTTCCTTAGTAATTAAGATGACACATAATTAATGTAATTAGATTCATTAACTATTTCTATTAAAATGATTTTAAAAACATAAAAAACCTTCTAATAATTAATTTATACACAAATAAGCAACTACCATTCCAAATTAATATGTAGATATATACATATGTACATACATATATATGTATTTGTTATTTAATAACACAAATTGAATAAACTCGTTAATACATGCAGCTACATGGTTATTATATAGTCTGGTTCTTGCTTATTGTTTTGAGAAAATTAAGCAAAATACTTGAGAACAAATCTATGCAAATTGGCCGTCTATAGTGGCCTTAAGAATATTTTCCATCTTTCATCATAATTGTTTATTATTTGGCATGCTTACCATGATAAATAAGTGAAGACATATTTATTACGATTTGTTTTTGACTAAGCGAATTCGTAATCCACAACGCGACTGGAAATCCTCTATACGATCCAATATGAAGAAAAATAAGAGTGTGTTTAGTATGAAGGGAATGAAATGAATATATGAAGTTACTTTTTAATATTCAATTGATTTGATACTGCAATTTTACCATTTACGAGTATACAACAGCCATAGGTCCTGTACGTTCAGGAAACACTAATATTCCTCTTTCTAGTGAAACAAAGTCCTTGTAAGTCGGCCGCGACAGTGAACTCACTTGGAATACACACTTAAATAAGGAATATAATAAAGCACTAATGGCTTTATGAACAACGCGGTCCTGTATAGGCAAAACTTGTGACCTCAACCCGAACATGGTATTTTGGATAAATCAGGGAGTAGTACGTCCTATCATGATATGTGGTTACCTGGTCTGGTGAAAACAGGGTTACACTGGCTGGATCTGTTACTGTTTATACGAAACGTCAGAGACTCGCGTGTCACTTAATGACTGGTGGTATGAGGACTAGCTATGAGGACCAACTGCAGTACTAAGTTATAGGTATGTTTCTCACCAGAACAGATCAAGAACTCTTCTCTAGATTTAGTTCTGGACTTTATTCACAAAGCTTTAAGGGACTTTATGTAATCAATAGTGAAACTGATACAATAAGACTCTCTGGCCTCAGTACTGACTGTTGGGCGATTTCACGCTTAAACTTTTTTTTTTAAAATTAAAATGGCTACTTACTAAAGAGAACATTATTTACGTAGTATAAATTTAGAGAACTCACTCACAAAATTACTTATATACGCTGTTTAAACAATTTATGAAACATTCATGGATATTTGTGAGTATCTTTAAGTTATTTTAATATAGCATATAATTTTATATTGTATTCTAATACCATGTTCAACTTGCCTCATTTAGTTTTGCTCATACAAAACCTTACATATAAATGAGCTCATTATAAAGAAATCAAATGATTTAAGGCAAAAAATATCAAATGCTACCCCTAAAAATTAATTTTCCACAAGAGAAATTACCAAAATTTAAAATGGTCTGATATAGGTATTTTATATGTAAAATGTAAACAAACAAGCTATTTCACATGTCTAAATCAATTTATGCCAATGAAAACGATCAAATTTTGATTTCATTAACATAAGTAGTTTTAGTTACAGTGGCAACATGATAAAATAATTATATATAAATAGCTACAAAATGAATAGTAATTTATTATAAAATCAAACTAATCGTGGAAGGATTTAAATCGAACTTAGTAACTCGGTATTCAGGAAAAAAAATAAAACAAAATGTACAGAATTTTTAGATTTATTCTTGATAAAATTATAAAATTCAAATCAGTTTGTTTGTTTTTTTTTTGTTGCGAAATGAGTGGTGAAAAGAAGTAGCTGTTGCTTATGACGATGTTATGCAGACAATTATAGACACATCAAATATAAATTATTGTTTTTGTATAATTTAAAACATCGACATTGATAGCAATAATATAAAATTCACTTAAACATTGGTTAAACGTTGGACGAGACTTTCTGTACCTCTTCATAGTAATCAAAAGAGTGCTACTCACTTCGTCAAAATTTACACCTTTATGGAAAAATTATTACAAATGTAAGCGGATCCACCCAGAAAACACTGACGTTTAAATTTAAGCAAAGTTTAAATTTATCAATATAATAGTAACAGTATACAATTTGCAATTATGTTTTGACTCTTTATATAACATACATTCATTAATTTTTTTTTGTCTCAACTTAATTAAAAAATTAATTCGGTGAAAATTAACTGAAATTTGATTTAGGCCGTGTGCGAGTTTGAATAAATTAAGGTAAAGGAAATTGAAACTTCTTAGGGATTTTTTGCACTGCTTTTATGTAAATATATATTTATTTATTTATTGCACTTATTTATTATTTTGGTTAAAAGTTTTCAGATATATTTATTTATTCATTAAACATCTTATAACATTTTCACAATGGTAACACCTAATTTACCTAATTATTATCTAATCTAATTATTTATCTAATTTTTATCTAACATTCGCTGTCACACCAAAATAATTTACTATTTCCCTCAATTTACCATCAATTTACTCGAATTCGCACACGGCCTTAAATGACACAATACAAAAAAATATGCTATATAATTCAATTGAGTATTCCCTAAATTAAAGAACAATTGTTTGAAGTGGTTTTTAAAATCAAAAATAGAAAACAATGATTTATTAAATAAAAGAATTATTCTATATGTAATTTGTTCAAAATTTCTTGTTGTGTACTTTTGGTATCATTTGCCAATGACATTTCAATATACTTGTGTATGGCAACACTTAAATATAGAATTTTGACATTTCAAAAACAAAACTAACATAGAAAATAAAAATTTTTTAATTGTCAAAACAAATATTTTTGCTATAGAGGCAGGCAATTTTCTCTATTCGTAGTTTACATATATTTCTTATTCAAAGGTTTCGTGCTGTAATATAAATATATTGTGACTAACGCCAAAATGATGATCAAAGTTAAGGTAATTCAAATACATTTATTATTTATACAACCAGTAAAATAATTTTAAAAACATCCAACCCAAATACAAGCAGTGTTTGTTTTGTTTGCCTATTGCGGCTAATAATAAAAACTTATTTACACTGTTTTTATTTAAATAAATGTTAATATTGATAAATCAAAATTATTTTTAAAATAGACCCTTGCCAATCGAGTTTATAATGTCGAGGTTGAACCAAACGATCAAATTAAATTGATTAAGGATATTGTGCATGAATGGGAAGGTGGGCCACCTATGTTTTCTCGTTTTTTGTTTGCTAGGCAAATCATGTAAGTATTTAATGGAGATTACTATGTATATTTATTAAGAGATAATTTTTTTTATTATATATAATAGGGATACCAGTCGTACTTTTGCCGACTATAATGTTCAAGAAGGCTCAGTTATATTGTTTTTGATGCTGTTTGTTTTTTCGCCTCAGCCTGCTCGTGCAGGATAATTATGCACCTAGAACATCTCCGCAAACATAAAAGTTACAACATCTTATGTATATTTATCATGCGTTTAAGTTTAGATTGGTTTTCTCTTGACGTTGTATTTGAATGTTCAAGTTTATCAATTATTCGATGTTGGTCAACAAACCTTGTACAAATGCGAATTGTGTATATTCTGTATATAGCAAACTAAACTGAAGTAACACTAAATATAAGGAAGACTATGCAGATAAGACTTTTCATAACACATGTAAGTTTTTAAATTTACTTAAATATATTTGTAAAACACTATTTTTTGTACTCTGTAATTTCAAACAAAATTTATTTTAGTTTCAAAAGTTAAGCAAATAACAGTATTTGTACAATTTTGCTAAATAATGAAGTTGTTAAATGTAAAACTCCTTCGGGATTTATTAGTGGCGCATGAAAATTGTTCACGATCGAATTTTAGTTTGAGTTGTGATCGGTGCTTAGCTGCTGATGACGAGTGACTCCGACTTCTAGACACGGCTAATACTATAACTAGAAACTTCAAATCTTTATAATTGACTTAAAGTTTAATTAAATTGAAACTCTTAGATTATACAGCCAATAAAACTTCATCAATTTTTTAACTTAAACAGATCCAGTTCATTATGTAGCCGTTATTCACATATATATTTAATTTATTAAAGATGCCATTTTTAGTACCAATCTTTATTTCCTTAAAACGATAAAACAAAAATATTTAATAAACCCATGTTTACATCTTGGCACATGCTTAATGTATAGGATAAATTTTATATAGAATACACTTATGTTATACCTAAGTATATGTCTTTGTATATAAAAAAATATTTTAAAAATCATACTTGAAATATAATATATAACAAAACTTAATAAAAATAAATAACAATATTTTTTTTCTCTTTTAGCTCCAGTATCATAAACTAATGGCCACTGCTATTTGAAAACATAAAGACCTCACACTTACAATAAATGCACACAATATAGTTTTAGTCTGGTAAGAAATGACTTAATATAACGGTAATATTTTTATAATAAATTTTAATTATTCATTTTTTTCTTTTGCAGGATTTGTTTGTAAATCTATGATTTACTGAAAACTTAGTATGGTCAAAATGAATAACTTGCGTTGGCATCTTTGGGTTGGATATATTTTATGAATAATTATTTATATTTTCGCAAATATAATAAACTGCGAATTATGTTCCTTGAAAGTTAGTCATTTTAAGATAAAAAATTTTATTATCTGACAGTCGATTGTAGTATATATATTTATTAAATAGTTTTTAAAACTAAATCAAGAGAGCTGTTTATTTTAATTAAGTAAAAAATCTTTACACACACAATAAATGTAAACAAAATTAAACAAATTTACTACACAATTTATTATTAAAGATTTGTATATAATTTATGTTATATTCACAAGCATATATGTATATTTATTGATATGTATGTGTTGTATTAATATATGTATATATCATATTTGTTTGTTTTAGACAAGTGGTTTTAAAATGTAAATACATCCACTCCTGTGTGTCCGTCTATATCGTTACAATTAACTCAATTATTGGGACAAAAACATTTTAAATAAATTTATACCAAAATTGTTTTATACAAAAACTAATTTATAATATCGATCCACACAATTATAAGTAGCTAATTTATTTCTAAAAAAAAATATTTATATAATTTTATTAATTACAAATTTGCTACGGTTGACCATCATTATGATTTCAAACTATTAGAAGGGAAAGCAAATTGTGTTCTATAATTTTATATTAAAATTGTAGAAAAAAACAGAATGTATTTATTGTTAATTTTTTCTTGCCGGGAGTTAATCGTCTTTATGACGAAAAGAAACTATTAAAAAATTAAACGAAATGAATTTATACTATTTCGTAAACAAATGGGTTTTAGTGTTCACAATTTTTATACTAATAATACAATCAAAATATTAAGTGAATTGGGATTATATTGAACAACTATTAGTTACAAGCCTTTATTGATTTGTAACTATGCAAAATAGTTATTCCAATTACTACTGCAATATAGAAAACTGCCTTAGAATTAATAAAGAACTTGTTCCAGGAGCTTCCGGATGTACGTCTCAAAGCCAATCGTCAGTTACAACGACACTTGGTCGTCGTTCATCATACCTATAGCGGGTTACATTCCCAAACAACTTTAACGTTTTACACATGAATAAAGATTATAGTAAGCATTGTTCCTTAACAATATTTGCACATTTTGGGAGCATTCAACAAATAGTTGTTTTATTACACCAGGAAAGGCATAAATCTGTGTCTAATAAAATTACTAAATTACTAAATAAATCTGTATTAAAATTTCCGTAACATTACTAGTTCATTAGCGCATTGAATTGTATATTCTGCATAAAGGTGTCATCATTAAATCATGAGAAAATAAATAACACGGCTTATTTATATTTCATATAACGAAACTTTTTTAAAATTTTATATTTCATTTTCAATATTAAAGTTTAATCTAAAATATATTAGTGATTACTAGTTGTAATCACTAGGCACAACAACTGAACTGTGGCCACGATTAAAATCATTGTACCAGCATTCCAAAGCGGCAAAGGATGGAGCTTCCTCGCCAAATGTGAAAGTAAGTCGATCGATGCACTCTTGTATTGATAATCCACGTCGAAAGTCGTAAAAAATCATCGCACGAAGATTTGTTTACGTTATTTTCACTTTTCGCGTACACTCAATTTACAAATCACTGCGAATAACACAAATACCACGGTCTTGACAAAAAGTCTAAGGTAGGTTTTGTTTAATAAAGTCAAACTCTCGTATGGAAACGTCAGATGACACCTGACAACAATCAGTGTTACCAAGGCTCAAAATATAAATAGTGACCCTGTATATTAGATTATTAGATGTATATATGTTTTGTAAACCATTTTTGTATACTCTACTTAGAGATTATTTCATCTAATTCATATTTGAGGGATCATTGATATTCTTTAAACAAGAGCTGAGGTTAACCACTGAAGATATGTATTTGTTACCATATTACAATGTTAACCAGGTATACTCTCTAATGAACTCTTATTACATACATATGTATATGTTTCATATTATTTAAGTAAATATATATGTATGTACATACTTAAATCACAGGTAAAGTTAATTTCAAAGTAAAATGACATTATTTTGTTACATATAATGAAATGCATTTAGTTGCTTAAATATATTGCCACTCCAAATCAAATCTAGATATATACACTTTTTCATGCTTTAAATAAATGGTGAACTTGTAAATCCAATGGGTTTATATTAACAACGTAATTCATATAACATGTTAAACATGGATAATGTTGTCCCTTCAGCTCATGAAACAATATTTAGGAAATGATTTTCACCTTACAATACTAGGCAATGCTGCCAAAATTCGCCCCATTGAAGCAGCTAAGTTTCTTCGCCTTGATCCTGGTTGTCTTCGATTTAAATCCCACCCATTCTTACTCATTAAAGTTCCATCACGTTATTCATTCTCTCTACCATCGTCCAAATCCTAACCAATGTATACGTCTAAATGATTTCTTTCATGTTTCATCTTTTGCTCCACAGGCTACAACAACAACAGTAACAATAATAATAATAACAGCAACAATAACAACAACAACATGTAGACACAATCAAACAATCCGTTATTTAGTCGTTGTTGTAAAAAAATTATAGAAATTTGATCCGTTTCCATAATATCAAACTTATAATATTTTCATACGATTAACGAAAATATATTAATTCTCAACTTACAGAACGTTTCAATCCATTCTTGCGGTAGCAGGTTTTATTGTTGGTTCATTCAATGAACTTCATTGTGTATAAATACACTAGAATATTTTTTGAGCAACTGACTAAAACTGCATACTCATAAAGTCATATTTATTTATAACAATTTTTGCTTTAGCCCAATTAATTTGAATTTCAACCTAAATATGTGATTTGCTTTAGAATATGTATAAAATAATGATAAATAAACAATTTTATTATAATGATTTATCAAGTTTATGTGAAACATATTATCGAGTTAATCGCTATATTCCAACAATAACATTTCATAAACATATTTCAAGAATAAGCAAACTTAGCGCAAAAAGGCACTTTGTTTTTATTTTTCTCTATGTTTTCATTCGCGCCAATAAAATATTTGCATAAAACATAGAATAACGCTAAATGACAGCTGTTTAAATAATAATTTTGCATTGTTATTAGTAAATTATCTAGAATTGAATTAATAAAATTTAATAATTAAGATGCTGATTAAAGTAAAGGTAAATATAAAAATTTTTGTATTATTAAACACATTCTGAATCCTTTTTGTTAAAATAACTTAAATCATAAAAAAATGTTTGTTTACTTTAAAAATTTGCTAACAATTCTATGTGTCGGCATTTAAAAAATAATTTATTTTAAAAATATATTTTTAACTTTTTAAAATAGAAAATGTGTAGAGATCATATAATTACTATTTTTTTATTTTAGACGCTTACCGGCAAAGAAATTGAAATCGATATCGAGCCCACAGATAAAGTTGACCGAATTAAAGAGCGTGTAGAAGAAAAAGAAGGTATACCACCTCAGCAGCAGCGTTTAATATTCTCCGGGAAGCAAATGTATGATAATTTTTCAATCGAAATGCTTTTAATATACATATGCACACTAAGTAAATAATTTTTTATTATATTAGGAATGATGATAAAACTGCTGCGGATTATAAAGTTCAAGGGGGTTCTGTTCTGCATTTAGTACTGGCGTTGCGTGGTGGACTTATAGAACTGCAGATTTAATAGCAACTAAATATTAAGAATTATGAAGATAGCTTCTAAGTTACGAAACAATAAATTATTTTTAATAACTAATACGTTTGGGCTGAAAAGTATTGCTGTAGATAGAAAGTATGTATATATTTTAAGTAAAAACATATTTTTTCACAAAAAACAAATTTACAAGATATAGTTGTATTTTTATTATCTTTCAAGTTTAATTTTGTGGTATATCTTGAAAATTACCATAAAAATAATAAAATATCAATACTATACTGATCCAATAGCACTTAGAGCATTACGGATATAACTTGGCGTAACAGACTTCGTTACCCCAAATACCATTTAAAAGTTGAATCTACCAAGCTCTAAAAATTTTCTGAAGAATATTCCTTGTGAAAGAATAAAAGACAGTGGTATTGCATTTATATATTATAACAAGAAATATATAGGTATGGTTTGTTTGAACCAATTCTAAACAGATTGCGCAAACATATAGCTTATACAAGCTCAATACCACCATCAAGGTGTTTACGTTGAGTAACAGAAGACGTTGGAGTTCGAGAAAATTAACTTTTCGTAACATTTCGACATAAAAGCTTCTCCAGGATAAATAAACGTCTATAATACAATAAGCTAGAAATAAAGTATATATTTTCAAATGACTAATAGAAAAACTGGTAGGTTCACTTCTCAAAGCTTTTCCAAAGCAAAAAAGAATTTGTTAAGTTTAAATTTTGTTCATATTAATACTCTGATTATTGATCGTATGTTGAGTTAGATGAGCTGCACTTGATTGTTAATATTGTAACAATCCCATTGATAATCGGGATAGACATGTGTTTTTGTAACCTAGATCCAATCGCTGCCGCAACCGTAGCGGCACGGTCGTGTGATAGACAACTAACTTTATTACGCAAACGAGGGCGATTCTGACAAAGTTTTCACTAATTCTCTTTGCAGGCAATTACAAAATTCTAACTCACATAAACTCCAATGAAAATTCCTTTTGTATTTAAATATTTATGCTAATCCTACATGACAGTAAATAATTGCTGTTGTTGTTGTAACCCGCCGGGACCTGAAAGCAGATAACATGAAAGGATTACAAGACGAATACATGGGATAAGGAATGGAAATGGTGGGAGTGAGTGTTGGGATGAGGGAAAGGGGAGGGGTGGGAGTAATTTGAAACTAACCAGGACCCAGTCGAAGAAACCTAGCCACTTCAAGGGGACGAGTCCAAAGGTCGATTGGACTTAAATTGGTGTGTGCGTTGGGGCAAGAAAACAGATGGGCGACGTCATGGGGCGTGGAGCTGCAGTTTGGGCACACATTAGAAATGGACGTGTTAATACGTGACAAGTAACTGTTAAGCACATGGCTATATCCTGATCTCAATTGAGATAGGACAGTTGTTGCCGTACGAGGAAGATTACGTTCATCCTGAGAAATGTTAGGTGGAGGCCTATTGAGGACCTTGTTGGGAGCCAACCTAGGTCTCGAAGAAGATACTCCATCGGTGTGGAGTGCTATAAGCCCACGTTTGTATTCGACCTCACTGATGTAGGCTCCATTGCAATATTGGTCGATATTGAAGTTGGTAAGTGATCGACGGATGCAACGTGGAGGGGGGGCTCTACTAGCCATGACGCCATTAGGATGACCATCTGTGCGGCACGCGAGTAAGAATTGTTTGGACAGCAGTTGATTGTGCTCTTTTACAAGAAGCAACTTTGCTTCCGCATGAAGATGGTCAACATGCGACATACGATGGCAGCCAGTTGCAACTCGCAATGCTGTGTTTTGACAGATTTGGATATTATTCCATATCTGTCAAAACACAGCATTGCGAGTAAATAATTGCTAATTGATAATTGTTTGTAAAATTTTTGTTTCAAATTTAACTGATATATTTAAAATTACACATACACAAACTTATATGAAAAATATTTACGTAATAAAAATTAATTTAATTGTTTACATACAACAATAATAACTTCATAACTCTTTGTAATTTTTGGCAGTTTATTACAAATGACATTATATAATATAATATAATAAAATTATATTATTTTATATAATATATATTTTACATATCATTTTTACAGAAAAAACTTAATAAACATGGCAAAAGAAATTAAACTATTTTGTAAAATGAGTTAAATATGTCTCAGTAACCGACATAATCACTACTTTAGACTTAATAGTCAGCATTTGTTTTATCAAACAACAAAAAAACTTGTTACAATTTTTAATTATAACTTGTTAGGGCAAATGACCAACAAGTAGGTGATTCTTTGGTGTACATTGTTCTGGTTTCAAACGTGTCAAAACTACTCTATAACCAATCTCTTCAGCTTGCAGCTTGCGATCAGTATCAATAATATCCATACAATGCTGACCCTGACGTGTTATTTCCGGTTTGCAATTGGTTCGGCCCAGTTCGTGCGATTGGTCTGCTGTGTGCGCAATATACAAATAGCTATAATCGTCGATCACATCACGAAAACGTTGACTTAGTGGATATTTAATATGAGGCATTGGTTGTAGTGCGCCATAGCAACAAGGACAACATACAAATTTGGCACGAGAACGTAAACATTGCTGTATAACAATATCAGTAGCAGTACCGCAGGCATGCAGTGATGTACCCAAATCAAAGTTTCCTTCAAAATAGTCGATGTTACACTGATAGAAACGCATATTTTTTAGTTTTAATTCGTTAGCACGTTTTTTAGCTCGTTCCAATGATATTGCTTTGTTTTCAATAAGTATTATGGTGCACTCTGGCAATTGTAATGCTAGAAGTATACCTAAGTGACCAGTACCGCTGCAGAAATCAACAATTCGATCGCCTGACTTGGCCAATGAAATAACAGCATTGGCTATATTTTCCAGTTGCTGACGCTTACGTACCAGTCGATTCTGCGGTAATGCTGAACCTTTTTCATGATTTGGCTCAATGGCATCCCAATCAATTTGGTTATGTTCATACGTTATATCGTTGTCACTATTAAAATTAATATCTAAAACTTCTAGTCTAGCTATTATTGCACTGACTTCACTCTGTAAAGTGAAGATGCGATTGCGTGGTTTGTAACGCTTCGGATCTTTCTTGTAAAGGCTAGTTTCATCACAGTCTGGTATTTTCATGTTTTCTACGAAGTTAACAACATGCATAGTTTGGAACAGGAATATTTGGCTCAATTTACTTAAACAATTTTTCTCCATTTCAGTCTGAAAATATAAGAGAATTAGGATAAAAAAATTTTGAACAATTCAAGGAAACTAACCTCTTCTATCCAAGTTTTTACTAATGGAAAAAATTGCCCAATACCTGGACAACTATCGAATATGAGCATTATACAAGGATACAAAACTAAATCCGCTATAGTAAATGCTATGCCTTCGGCAAAACGATGTTCTATAGCAAGTTTTTCTTTTGGTATAGAACAATCAACCATTACCTTACAACCATTAATGATTTCTGGTTCCTGTTTGGCTTTTTCGCGCGCCACTTTATAAATATTATGCATACGAACTGGTTCATTCATATGTCGCTCAAAACGTACTAATGCAGTTGGTATTTCATCAATTATCTGCCCATTTTGATATTTATATAACAAATCATTAAGTGCACTCGGCATATCCAACTCACAGAAACGTGTCCATATTGACGCTTCGGCGGGCGCCAACAAACAGCTCTGCTTAAACCCAAGTAAATACATTTTTTCAGTGGAACTTTGACGAGCCACAATTTCGCGGCAAACAGCACACATGCCTGATATGAATGTATTTCCATCTTTGGCATAAACGGGCAGGCGCAAATCTTGTATTGCTCGTGTAAGCGCTGCTTCCTTACAGATGATATCCTCATCGGTTAATTGCACGTGTAATTTATCGGAACGCAACTTAATCTTCCCGCCACTATTATCTAGTTTTGTGCACACAAACTTTATTTGTATATTCTCAGGTGAGTCCAGAAATTTATGCACAAAGAGCGCAACAAATGACGATGTTGTCGTGTATATTTCAGTTTCTTCATCTTTTGTACTTATCTCGATTTCAAGAAAAAGTGTATCCATTTTTTTGAGTTAATCAGTTTTGTAGGTATTATTCATAAAAAAATATAAATTCAAAAAGCAATAATTAAAAGAAAAGCTTAGCGGCAAATAAGTAAAATAAAAAATATCCAAACAAAAAACTAGGAAATGTCAAAATGCAATCAATTCTATCGCGAAGCAATGATTTTTTCTATTGTGAATTCTGCTATTTTAATTATAACAACTCTTATAACCGTTTTATATATATCAGCAAATGTTCACGATTACATTTAATTCAAAAAAAATGCATATTGTAAATTATTGATGATATGACCAATATTGTTGTGGCGTTTTCGATGGGTAAACTTGGATTCAATCTAGATTTACCCTCGATCTGTCAAATTTTGTTGCCCAATCGAACATTTTTAGAGTAATCTAAAATTTTTATAGTTCTGTTAGTACGGTTTTGACAAGTCACATACATTGCATATCATAACAAATAATAAGTCGTTTGAAATGGATGACAAAATTGAATTGAATCATCATATGTATCAAATTTTCATATATATCTTTATCTGAACATATAACGTAAAATGACAATGTATTTATTTGTATAATTATTTTGATTTTATCCATTTTTTCAAAACGATCGCCAAATATATAAACAAACAAATTGTGCACATGCGAAAATAAATCACACTTTTAGTTGTCAAATCATAGCTACTCTACTAATTTCAAATCAAATTTTAGTTACTCTGGCAAAATATTTAGAATGTTATAAATTAATCTCGAGTATTATACATATAGCCCCTACTTTACCAATCGAAAATGAAGTTGTATTAAAAGCATATTAAAAGAGCATATCGATTAAAAAAAACCCCTATTTACCAATCGAAAACGACATTAGTATAAATTTTCACATTTTGAATGTATAATAGAGCTTTTCTTTTGTAAACATATTACAAAAGAACAATATTAAATAAATATTATTTATGATGGCAACTCTGGGAGAATTAGAAATTTTGTTAATCTTATATAAGCAAAACACGTAATAAAATTTAAAGTTGAAGTTTCGAAAATGAATAATAATTCTCTTCAATTATTCGTAAAAATATTTAATTTTCTTATGATTGTGAATAAAATATGTACTTTCAGGGTTTTTCACTGTTAACAGGAAAAAGTAGTAAATTAAAAAGAATTGAGCAAAGAATACCTTATAACGGGAACGGGAACTCTATTGTGAACTAAATTTTGTTTGTTTGTTTGAACAACAACAATTTGCCGTAGAGCTCTTGAAGGGGTTAGTAATGTGTGCACCAAAGAATACTTGTACAAGAACGGTAACTTATATGTAAACAAAATAAACCAAACAATACACTCTCAAAATAATTTACTATACTAGACAAAGCATGTTGTTTAGTTGTTGTAAGTCGATCCACCACAAGTGAAAAGCTTCACCACCCCGAACGGAAAGTTTCACCACCACGAACGGTCTTCAATTTTTTTACTACGAAAAAACGACATGAAGTGTGCAAATTGGGCTTTGTTTTGTTTTTTTGAAAGAAGAAATGCGCGCCAAAAACTGAATAAGTTCGTTTGAAAAAATAATTACATTCATCAATTATAATTATTATTTCAGTTATTAATATTTAAAGATGGTACGGAATTGCGTAATGGGATGTAAGTTATTTAAGGGAATGTATGAATTTCATAAAAATGACGAAATATCGTAAAAAAAAATAATTTATTAATTGAGAATTTAAAATATATGTCTTATTTTTAATGTGATTTGTTTGTTTTATGTGTATAAATACAAATTAGTAAAACAAAAATATATATGTTTTCTTATGTGTTGATTTGTGTTTGTTAAATATGTGAAAAATATAAAAAATAAAAATAATAAATAAAAAAAAAACAAAAATTGTATATTAGTTTTTGGAGGTAAAAAGAGTGGAGTATGTAAATTATATATCTATGTTAAAATATTCATATTTAAATGTATTATAGCTTGAAAACTTTTAATATTAATTAATTTATTATTAATTTAATTCAACAATTTTATTTTTAAGTAAAATTTTATTTATAACTTTTTTATTTAATAAAATTACTTTTAAAATATTTCACAATCAACAAATTTTACTGTTTTATTTGTTCATATTAAAAAGACTGAATTAAATTAAATCGCATATTTTTCAGAATTGCTTGAAATTAGAAAATATTAGAAAAAATTGAAAAAGATTTTGATAGTTGCAGCTTGGTACATTCTCCTACCGACTTATTTAGTTATATTATAAGATTACATGCAGAATTTTGTACTTATTTTGAAAGAAATTACTCTAAAGTAAGTATAGTTCAATTCTTATATAAAATGTTTGACAGTTAAGTAGGCCTTACCCGCATTAAACTCATGAATCTCCTTAATAAACCGGGACAAAATAACCAAATTACCCCTTGTGGTAAATTTTGGGGACGTAAAGGACATGAAGGCAAACAAAGAGCTGACCCTCCCGCTAAACAAGTAGCTCAAGATAAAATAATTGGACCTCAGCCATGTTGTAGTCTGGCGAAAGGGGATATAGTGGACTGCTTCAGATACTTGGAAGACTCCCAATAATAGATGAACTGTAAAGGTTAAATACAAGCTACGAGATTTATCAACCAACATTAAGTACTTTCTAATAGTCTCCTTATTAGAGACTATTCCCTTTTCCTTTAATAAAAAATACGTTAAATTTGTTTAAAAGATGTTTTATTTGTAGTTATTTAACATTTGTTTTAGTTATTTTATAAATATTGAGATATTCTAGAAAAATTTATAAGAATTTCTCATTATTTTTACATAAATTTTTTAAACAATTTTTATTAATGTTCGTTTGGTTAATAATATAATCATGGAATTAATTATATAATCATATAATTAATGATGTAATTAAATTTGAAAAAAAAATTTATATATTAATATTGAAATTAAAAGTTAGTTATATTAACTAACTATAAAGTAAAAGTTATATTAATATTAACTTTTACAAAAAGTATAAATTTTTTTCATGCAATTGAGAGGGTGGACAATGTATGCTTTCAGCAACTAAATAAGCCAACTTATGCGCATACTGACAAACAGCCGGGACACGACAGGTACCTGTGTAGTTATAGTACATGTGGGTCATTTTGTAAGTAAGCATTTGTATACGATCTGGAGTGAGACCCATGGTATCATAAATTACATTATAACTCGTTGGAGAAACCGTTCCCTGGCGTACATTTTGCGAAACTATAAAGAAATCATAACGTTCCGGCAATGTTATAACATCATCTACAACTGTTCCTGGTGGTGGATTACAATTATTAATGAACAGCCGAGTATTTAAACGTTTGGAAACAACTATGAAAGCTAAACGTGGTACAATTTCGTGTACTAATTTCAAAATAAGCGGTTGTTCTTTTGTAATATGCTCACAAAAGTAAATGCCTAATTGGCGTTAAAAAAATGATTTTTAGAATTGATTAATTACAAATAATCATTTCAGCGTGATTAATAATAATTATTGAAATATAATAAATATTAGTATTAAATTAGTCATTAAAATTTAACCATTTCGGTTACGAGCTGATAGCACTGATAAAGCACTGATACACAAATTTAATAATATGTATTAAACTGAAATCTTTACACAATATTACATGATAAATGTTAGTTAACTTATGGTATTACGTATTTAAACAAAATGAGAATTGTAAAAACTATATTTATTAAAATTTCAACACTTTTGGAATTACAATTCTTAAATTTTATAATTAATATATATTTTGTAAAGCCCCTATGAGTATCTAACTAAATACTTTTTTAAAATATACTGTACTTGTACTCATATGAATATGTGGAAAGTGTTTAAACTAAACAGTATAAAGAACTGAGTATTAAATAATTTTTTTCTGCTTGTTTGCAAATTACTTGGTATTGAAGAAAAGTACTGAGTTTATCCAATTAAGAAGAAAAAAGTTGTTACAAAATCGAACACTTTCGCCATTTCATTTCGAGTATAATATAACTGATATCTTACAATTATAATTCCTAAAAAATTAAATTAACATTTTTATTAGAAGAGAATAACATCAAACTAAGCAGAATATATCATTATACTATAATGATATTTTTTAATTTTAATAAAAATATTCTCGTAAAATAATAAATAACAGTTTTGTTGTTTGTCTCTTTGAAATTCTTTTGAATAAAAATAACATGACAATAACTTTTACAACTAGTAAAATTTTAATTAAATCGAAAGTTTTGGAAAAGTATATTTGTAAACATTAATGAATTCTCTTACTGTAATCTTGGAGTATTTTTCTTAAAGTATTGCAAATATCAAGAAAGTATTGCAGTTACACAACAAGCACCAAGTTTCTTTCATTCAAGAATTTTGAAAAACTTGCTCAATTTACACGAAAAACGTAGTGAAGTGAAAAAATATTTATATGTACATCAAGTTTCCATTACGGAAAGCAAGAGACACTACAAAAAACTGTCTGGGTATAAATTGGAGGAAAGGAATCAAAACCCATCCTTGAGTTAAGTGTAAAATACATGCCGAGTAACAGAACAAAAACTTGACGAGAAAAACATTTTCTGGAGCAAACACTTCTCGTTCATACTGAGCAATCTTTTTACTGTACTTTTAACTATTTAAGTGATTCATTAATGACATCAGCTCCCTTTACATATAATCCTACTTGTTGCAGTAAAGCAATATATCAATTTAAGTATTGCTACTTAGCTGTGAAAAAGAAATGTAAGGAATTATTATTTTACTTTATTACAGCAGAAATACGTGATATCGGGTTTACAATTTAAGTGCGATATTATTTAAATGTTAAAAACTAATAGCTACGAATTTATTTCTAGAATTCTGAATTCTGGATTTAATCTAGATTTACTTTCGATCCGTCAAGTATGAATAGCTAGGTTTAGCACAATAATATCTTAAATGAACAGCAAACTGGATTCCGCAGGTCCTACTCGTCTGTTGATAACATTTTCATTCTAACTTCTATAAAACCCTTAAATATAAGTAGCAATAAGAAAATATATGCCTTTTTCGTCGATTTCTAATGTGTATTTGACACTACACCTAGGAATGCCTTATTTTTCTAATTAGTTAATTTAGGTTTTTCTCACAAGTTTTTAAAGGCACTAATGAAATTATATTCGAACACCAGCAGTCGCATAAGGGACGGTACTTGTATGTCTTCTTCGTTTAAAGTCATTCAAGGTGTGAAACACCTATTCTTAAATGATCTGCATGACTTTTTAAAAGGGTGGACTACCTATCAATTGAACTCATATAAAAGTGCTTTTGTATGCTAATGAAGTGGTTCTACTTGCGGATTCACTTGATGTATTACAAATTATGATAAATGAGCTGTTTAGATATTGTTCACAATGGGATCTTATCGCTAATCTAGATAAATCTAAAATAATGATTATCAGAAAAGGTTCTAGAGTAAGTAATTAATTGTCGTGGCAGTTCGGGTAAAAGCAAGTAGACATTGTCAATGAATATCAATACCTTGGAATATTAATTATATATAACCTCTACTACAATAAATATTTGACCTCTAAACTTTCATTCGGTAAAAGTGTGTAATTAACTCCACGAGGATAAAGTACTTGTTTAAACGTAAAATAACTTTCATAAATAAATTAAAAATATTCTACACGGAAGTTCGTTCAAATGTACTCTACGGTGCCTAAGTTTGAGGTTACAAATACTATGATCAAGTGGAAAGACTCTTTAAATTTTTTCTAAAAAAGATGCTATTTCTACCCACTAATACCCCAATCTATATGCTCCACTTAGAAACGGGTTTGCCAACACAGTTTGTAGGTACAGTGCAAACACATTTCGTCTATGTAAGAAAAATTCTTAATCTCCCCTCCACAAGGCTTCCTCGAATACTAGCTGAGCTTACAATTGACAAATTTGTTTTTAGAACTGGGTCTTTCAATAACCAGTGGTCGAAGTATGGGTCTTAAATTATTAAACAATACTATTATAACTTTATACAAACACAGTGAACACGATTCCTTTATCGTGAATGATAGGCCACAGCTGCAATACGACATTATGTATAATTTTTTATAACGAAAACACTCAGCACATATCGACGTAACTTTTTAAATGTAGAGGTGGTCTTTTTAATTTAAACGTCAGATAATTTAATATTTTAATCTAAATCTAAACGTGATTGTTCTTTGTGTGATCGTTATGAAATAGAAAATATATGTCATATTATTGGTTCTTCAAAAGGCTTTGAAGAACTTTTATTGACTATTTGAACATGATGTCGATCAATCAAGTAACCCAATAATTTCTAGAGAAGTGTAGTGTAAGAAGAGAAGGCTTTAAAGAGACTATTCAACTCATGCTAGACTCTATCAGTAAAATTGGATATCATATAGTTAATGTAATTATTTTGTTTTTGGGTTGAGAATTATGGGATTAGCTCTAAAGATATAAATAGAATAGAGTATTTTTTATCTAATCTTAAATTAAAACCTCGACGAACAGGTTGTAATATAATCTGGTTTACTAGTTCATCGAGATTTAGAACATCATTCTACTGTGCAATATTATTAATTTTGCATATTATTTTTTTTATAAAATTTTTTGATAACTGAATTGTAGCAAAATGATTAAAGTAGACATATTTTACATGGATGTTGTAAGCTGGGCTTAAAAATATTTGTATTTAATTAATTTTACTTGTAACTAATATAAAATTATGTGTTATTTTCTTGTAAATGAATTTCAAATCAACAAAGAATTTCATGCTATTAGGTTTAACAGAAAACAATCGAAACTATCAATAAAATCACCTAGAAAACACTGACGCTCATCGGTATTAGACTCAAATATAATATTCTATAAAATTTCAAATTTATTCACGAGATGAACCTATGTCTACTAACTAGTTTAAGTAGCACTTATTTTCCCCACTATATCTAACCAAAATGATTTAATAATACATGTATAATATATATCATTCTTTTTGACGGGCAGATGTCATAAGTTTATAGATTCCCAATATATTAGGTTCAGCTTTCGGATATACCAGTGTTTCATGCACTTAAGGTTTTATTAGGAATAATTTGGATTTGAAAATTATTTTTGAATATATATTCTCTATGTCAGTCACATGCATAATGTAAAATCTATATTTCTATTTTTATTAAGTAAAGATTAAATACGAGTACCCGAATAATTGTATCATTACTTGAATGCTCAGTTAGACGCTTCATTCTTAATAGTTTCGAAATCAGTAGCATTATCGTATCAAATGGCCCACTATGATAATTTAAATATATAACACAATTAAAATTATTCTAAACGTATTAAAAGCTTTCGAGAGCTTTTGCATTATCTTATAGAACGGGGTGCGCATAGACTTACAAAAAGGGTTCGAGTGCAGTACGTTGAAACAATCGATACATTAATGTTAAAAATTAAATATGTGCTAATATTAAGCTTAGGTAGTTATGTAGATGAGGTGAAGGGAACTCACAACTGTTAAAGCTTAAATACATTTTGCATTTTACAGCTCTTTATACAAATACTTAAAGGTTTCTTATCTCTAAACATCTGATAACTTGCTGGATGCTTTTGCAAACGCAAGTTTCCATACATTGTATTCACTGTATTCAGTTGTGTTTCCACTATCGTGAAACTTGAAGTTTACATTTGTTTTGTTTTGCATAATCGTATAAAACATTTATGTGTAATAGTATATAAATACTTAATGTTCCCAGTTAGAACCGATCGTTCCGTCATCGAAGATGTCTATATGTTTTGTAGACATACATAAAAACATATTAATGGAAATGCCTTTAACAACAAAACTTTACAAATTCCACTTTAATACCGCAAAATTATTAAAATTACATACTTATCTTAAGAATGCAAACTTCAACATAATTAATTTGGTTTGGTTAGCTTTTGTTGGACACTTTCAATTTAGTTCTAAAAAATCTTAAAAGAAGGCGGTTGTGGTTTTAATTGTAGCTCAGTGTATAACAAGTATAGCAAACATCAAAGATATATACAACATCAAATCACCAATATTAAACCTTAAAAATAAATCAAGTATTACCATGGGCTCAAACCGAAATTCCATTGGTACTCATGTTTCCATTTATTTTTAAGCGAATACTTTGTTTTTTCATAAGTTAGAATAAATCAGCTGGGGTCTTACAATAAATTCAGATTTAAGCCCACTCTATTATAATTCTTGTGCATAAAAGCATACTACATACTGCAAAAACATATCACACATCAAGCATTTCAGTCATGCTTGATATGTGATGCTCTTTAGGCCGTGTGCGAGTTCGAGTAAATTTATGATAAATTGAGGGAAATAGTATATTATGTCGGTATGACAACAAATGTTGGTATTTATCAGAATTTCGAGTAGGGTAAATTAGATAAAAGCTAGATAAATTAGTTATTACCATTATGAAAATTTTA